CTGACACACCTTTCCGAGATGAGCCGCTCCGGCAACCAGGTGTCCGAGTACATTTCCAACACTTTCCTGGGTAAGGAATCACATCCCAAGCTTTCGGGTGACTCAAAGCTCATGATGAATGGCAGCCTCACAGCCACCAGTCAGCACTTGTGCCCAGTTTGCCTTTAGGGCAGAGCATTAGTTTTGATTTTTCACTTTCAAAATGGATCTAGGGAGGGAAATAATACAGGGTTTGGATAAGTCTATCCACAGAGGAATGCCTTCTCCGAATGAAAAGAGGTTTCTGCTCAGATTGCATTAAGCTGCTGGTGGATACCTTGTGCAGTATTTCGTTTTGGGTTGACCTTATGTAAAGGACAAAGTCACGCAAGCCCAACTGCATCCTCTCATCCTTGCAACTGCTGCCTCATGCAGCTGCATCTTCCCCCTTCAGAGACAGGGGTCAGAGAAGCAGGTTCAGCACAGACATTTTATTTTATAGATTACTCTGTGTATTTGCTCATCTTGCACTGGAAGTCAGAATAAAGAGGAGAGAGAATATTTTGCATTTCATTAGTTTTGTTGGAGCTTGTAGGACTACTGACAGGAATTGATCCTCTGGCTTTACAAAATATATTTGTTACAAAAACTAGAATTTTCTGTGTTCTCAAGCAGCTTTGGAATTTGTGGCCATTTGCATATAAAATGAAGCTTAGCACAGAACCTGAAGGGGCTGACAAGAAAGCTGGAGAGGAGCTTTTGACAAGGGCTTGTGGGGACAGGACAAGGGGAATGGCTTGAACCTGCCAGAGGGGAGATTGAGATGAGCTCTTGGGCAGCAGCTCTTCCCTGTGAGGGTGCTGAGGCGCTGGCACAGGGTGCCCAGAGAAGCTGTGGCTGCCCCACCCCTGGCAGTGTGCGGGGCCAGGTACCTGCTCGAGTGGAAGGTGTCCCTGCCCGGGGCAGGGGTTGGAGCTGGAGGAGCCTTACGGTCCCCTCTTCCAACCCTAGGATTCTATATTGCTGAGTCCAGCAGCTTCAAGTGCTGAGTGTATGTGGGCTGCTGGAGCTCGTGGAGGACTCGTGCCCTGCGGTTAAGACGTCTCAGAATGCATTCACTGTATGACACACAATTATTCCCATTAAGGGATTTTGAAGTGATTTCAGTAGCCAGTTGGAACTGGAACTACTGCGTGCATTTAGGACACATCACATCACTAATAATCTATGTAAGTCTGTAGCTGCTTTGTGGGAATCCATTTGCCCTGTCTTATCACTCAGCTTCGTCATGACATCCAGAACGTGACTTAATACAGGGAGTAGAAGCAAGGCTGCTTTGCTCCTTCAGCTGGAGGGCCTGGAGCATACACAGCCTGCTGGGGAGCATGACAACCATGGCATTTTGAGGCAGCTTTTGCCAATAGGCATGTATCTATGGGACAGAGAGACACCCAGTGTGGCTTGATACTGTGGACCTAATACAAAACCCATAAACCACACCTACAGTCGAGTTAGAGGAGTCTCTCTAGCACCAGGGGCTAATTAGCTGAAGCCACTCTGGTGCTAAGGGGGCTCTATTATTCACTGCACTTGGGCTGGGTCCCGTAACTGCATTTCCCTTTGCAGGTCTTGACAATGGGTCTTATTCATCCCTATTCTGCTTCTTCTCACATACTCTCGTAACGGTGACGTCCTCCCTGGTTTGTGACAGTTTGAGGGCCACTCAACCTCTTTGGGCTGTGTTGCCAAGTGGCGCAGGCTCACCAGATTGGGACAGATTGCAGCTTAATTGCTCATATTAAAAAGAAATGACTAAAGCTTTTAAAAGGCTCTTAAAGCTTTTTTTAGGAAGTCATGCTGTCACACCTTTATAAATTACTTTTTTCTCCCTTCCTAAAATTTGATTGAAAATTAAATGAATGCCCAAACTAACCAGAGTCTACAACTGGGGAAGCTGAACAAGCAAGCAAAAGAAACAAGTGGATGGGACATTAATTTATCTTCAACCACTACTAGAGGGACTGACTTACAGATATTAAAACCTTCATTTTTATTCAGTCTCTAGACTTTATGAAATGAGGTGAGGAAGGCACCAAGAACCAAGGCACCAGAAGGGCCGGCCCTGCTGTCAGTTTGGTCAGTGAGAGCAAGGACTCCAGCTTTAAGTCCCTATGAAAGGCAAAGATGAAAACTGGTGGTTTTCATAGAAGAACCCTGGAATGGTTTGTGTTGGGAGGGAGCTTAAAGCTCTTCCAGTTCCAACCCCCTGCCATGCGCACGGATGCCTCACACTAGATTATGTTGCCCAAGGCTCTGTCCAACCTGGCCTTGAACACTGCCAGGGATGGGGCAGCCACAGCTTCTCTGGGCACCCTGTGCCAGCGCCTCAGCACCCTCACAGGGAAGAGCTTCTGCCTCAGAGCTCATCTCAATCTCCCCTCTGGCAGGTTCAAGCCGTTCCCCTTGTCCTGTCCCTACAGGCCCTTTTGTCATTGCTCACACCACATAAATGGGGAAGATCAGAATGGCCTTTCAGCACTTGCCCTTTCCTGAGGGTGAAGGGTGTTGCTGTTGCCACCACCATAAGGACTTGATTTAACAAACTAGACATTTCTATTAAGAATGTCCATTTTACGCTACCCTGGTGTTAGTCATTGCTGAAGAGATTATATAGAGGAAAGTCCTTCTGTTGTTCAGCAGAAAGACACAAGGGAAACACCCATTGATGTCAGCTTACTGTGGCTGTGAATAATGGTTTCCCTCTTAATTGCAGAGTTGCAGACACACTGGTAGTTCTTCTTTCAGAGATTTTTAATTAAGCCATGGCAAAGGTAACTAATGCCTCGATGCTTAGTCCCTCCAGAGGTCCTCAGAGATGCAAAGGTGCAAAGGGATCATAGCAGCCTTCCCTAAGAGTTCATGGTTAGTCTGCAAGTAATGAGCCTCTCTATCTCAGTTCTAACGCAGCAGATAAATCGGTGGTGAAGGCAGACCAGTAGCATATGTGGATAGATTTATTTATTCAACACATCTCTATAGCCAAGTTTGTGCCCCACTAGATAGATGCCTGCTTAATGTGCACAAATATTGTCACTGTCTCTGAGTGTGACAACAGAAATATGGCCTGTGTTATTCTACACGTTATTGTTATATATGCTATGTATTTATGTGTTTATATATGATATAGTTATCCATCTATATATGTTATACATGTAATAGATGATAGTCTATACATAAGTAAAGGGCAAATCGTTAATAAATCAGTGACATCAATTTGTTACTGGGTTGGTGTTTTAAGAGCAGGGGGTATGGAGATGGGTTTGGCCCTGATAAGTAACAACAGAGTGGATATGAAAATACAGTCTTGTATCTATTCTTAATCTATTGAGGAAAAATGTGTTATTTTGAATATATATTTTATTTTCCTGAAAATAGGTAATAAAAATTAATTGAGATCTATCCCGAAGCAGAACCTGGTGCCCTTCAGGCATGGAGAGCTATGTCCTGAACATGTGCTGTGTTCCCAAGTGATGCAGTTTGACAATGGCTGTGCTGAAAGCAGCCTGGCACTTGGTGTCCCAGCAGGGCTCAGTGGGAAGGGTCAGCCTTGCCAAGGGCAAACAGAGGTTATGTGACTGTTTTGCTTTGCTTTTGATTCAGTTCACTCCCCAAAATAGAGAAGTCCCCGGCAGAAACATGTGGGTTTGAACTGGTGCAGAGCCACTTAGTCAGCAGAGCTAAGGGTTGATTTCGGGGGGTGTGATGGCGCTCACACTGCCAACAACGTTGACTCATTCCACCTTTCTTGGTTACAGACAAGCAGAATGATGTGGAGATTCCTTCTCCCACCCAGAAAGACAGAGAGAAGAAGAAAAAACAGCAGCTCATGACACAGATCAGTGGAGTGAAAAAATTAATGCATAGTTCAAGCTTAAATAACACCAGCATTTCACGATTTGGTGTGAAGACAGAAAAGGAAGAGCATCTGGCCAAGGTACGACAGGTTCTTGCAGTTCTGGGAGAACTGGGATTTATCTGGAAGCTGGGGATGAACTGGCTGGCTGGACTGTATCCCCTTGTAAAACTGGAATTGGCATCCTTCAAGTGATGTGGCCATTACAGATGCTGTAGTTAATGGCACCACGCCCTAACAGCATATTCTATGGTTGTAAATTCCTTGGAAATATCCCTAAAATAATAATAAAAATATGATGGAAGCTGAGGAGAGCACTTATCAGACACAGGAAACTATAACAACACCATGTCCAGCAGACTGGCTGTGGGGCCTTTGTCAGGGCACTTCTTCTTGCAGCCTGGAAACACACATCACACATAATTCCCCTGCCTCACAGAGAAATGTCCTTGCACAAGCGCTTTGGCATCAGCCCTTCCAAGTCCCTCTCTCTTGGTGTGCTTTAAGTACTTGTGTTCAGGCACTCGCCTAATTCCCACAGTGAACATTGAATTTGCATCTTCTTAAACATTTGGAAAATGCAAAAGATGCAAAACAAGTGCTAAATGCAGAATTCCCTTGGAAAATACTGTAACCATTCTCTTTTTGTCCTTTCCAAAGGAACTGGAGGATCTGAATAAGTGGGGTCTCAACATCTTCAATGTGGCCAGGTATTCCCACAACAGGCCGCTCACCTGCATTATGTATGCTATATTTCAGGTTGGTGGTTTTCTGCTCAAATCTGCTCTTTTACAACACTATTGAAGCTCCTAATTGCTTGTTGTCTTGTTGCCTTCTACTGTATGACGCTCTTATTTGATATCTGCATGTATCCTTGTACCATTTATTACACAGGAGCGAGATCTACTGAAAACATTCAAGATCTCATCAGACACTTTCGTGACGTACATGATGACACTGGAAGACCACTACCACTCTGATGTGGCTTACCACAACAGCCTCCACGCTGCTGATGTTGCCCAGTCCACACACGTTCTGCTCTCTACCCCCGCGCTGGATGTGAGTTTCCCAGTTTGAGCTTAGTGCTTTGTGCTGGACAGTTGTTTGTTGTCTTTAAAGGTGGGATGGAGGCTTGAAAGCACCACATTGCCTAAGTGAATATAGAAGGGAAACCTTAAGCTCAGTCAGTGGCCAGGAGCACTCGGACTTGCAAAAAGCAGTGTGCTGCCTGCTCTTCTGAGGGCTCAGTTGACTGCCAGGGAAACCACCAGTGAGAAATTTCAGGAGCAGCTTTGCCTGTCATCTCTGTTTCATCTTAAAGAGCACATGCTGCCTTGTAGACCTTTCTTCTGTGTAAATGTCTTGCCCTCAGAAAACTCATTTAAAAAGCACAATTTGTTTCTCTACATCAGCCTCCCAAACTGCTGAGAGATAAAACATAAGGACTTCTCTGATAAATTCCTTTTCTCCTTCCTAGGCTGTCTTCACTGATTTGGAAATCCTTGCTGCAATCTTTGCAGCTGCAATTCATGATGTGGATCACCCCGGGGTCTCCAATCAATTTCTTATTAACACAAGTGAGTTTTGTTACAGATACAGTCATAACTTCATCCTCAAACTTGGAAACTGATGGAACTGCATTTTCCATTACAGTGGGGTCACACATTACGACTTTCTCAAAAATATTGTGCAGTAAACTAGTTAGACATTATGAAATAATCAGTAATTACAATGAAATTCCTAACAGAGGAAGCTATTGTAGTACAATTTGCGAAGTGCCCTTGAAGCTTATGAGCATTACTACTTGCTAATGCAAAATAATTCTTCCAGGCCCGAGTGCAAATTTTATTGTTAATAGAAGATAAATAACACTATTGCTATTGACAACAATGAAGCTAAACATTGTGGTTCATTTTGTGCTCTGCAACAGCCTAAGCATGTATCTGTATTCCAAAAGATGGGTATTGTTCTTTTATGGAAAGCGTGCTTGTAGGATTCTTGCTTTCTGTTGTCAGTGATTCTGAAGCCTGTAGCTAAGTCAACCAAGTATTATTTTGTTCATTAGAACTGAGCAAAGGGCTGTTTATATTATATACATATGTGCTCAGATTGGAAAACCGCATGCTCTTGGCACCCATGAAGCCAAAGAGGAAAACTTTTCCCAATTTGTTGCATACAGATAAACATTTCATTACTGAGGACAAGAGTTAGCTGTCTGAAATCACACATTTCACGTGCTGGACTCACATATTTGTGTTTCTTTGCTAGATTCTGAACTAGCCCTGATGTACAATGATGAATCTGTCTTGGAGAACCACCATCTTGCCGTGGGTTTCAAACTGCTTCAAGAGGAGCACTGTGACATCTTCCAGAACCTGACCAAGAAACAGCGTCAGACGCTCAGGAAGATGGTCATTGACATGGTATGAGCTATGCAGATGCTGCTCCTCTACTTGAACAAAAGACTGGCTGCTCTGTATGGTTGCCTGTACTGAGATCCTGTTTTCACTTCCGTAAAGGTGCTGGCGACAGATATGTCCAAGCATATGAGTCTGTTAGCTGATCTGAAGACTATGGTGGAAACCAAGAAAGTGACCAGTTCAGGAGTCCTCCTTCTGGACAACTACACAGACAGAATACAGGTATGTCAGCCAGGTTTCCTGGATTTTATGTATTTTGTTAGATGATATATTAGGAAGAAGTTCTTCCCTGTGAGGGTGCTGAGGCGCTGGCACAGGGTGCCCAGAGGAGCTGTGGCTGCCCCATCCCTGGCAGTGTTCAAGGCCAGGCTGGACACAGGGGCTTGGAGCAACCTGCTCTAGTGGAAGGTGTCCCTGCCCGGGGCAGGGGTTGGAACTAGAGGAGCTTTAAGGTCCCTTCAACCCAAACCAGCCCAGGATTCTATGAAACCATGTTCCTGTTTTTATTGTGGCTTTTAAATATAGAAGCTACTGACCTAAAGTTTCTTCTGTTCTGCACCACGAAGAGGCACAAGGTGGTCCCATGTTTTTTAGACAAATGGGATTATGTTTTAGCAGTTAGAGCACACAATTGCAAACATTCCTATTCTTCTGAAGCTGATCAGCCTTTACAAGCCTGAGTTTCTGAGGGCTCCTGAATTTGCTTGCTGCTTATTCCCATTTGTTTCTCCTGTCAATAAAGTATAGCAAGATTGCTGTAGCGTTGTGAATTTAATTTGTAACCCCGTACTTAAAGCAACTCTCACACCGAGCTGAAATTAGTGATGTACTATCTGTTCCCTGTCTAATCTAATCCTTTATTTGCAGAAATAACAAAGCAGTGCTGGAACAGGGTTTTGTAGTTAGTAGGACAACATATATCCTGATCTTCTCTCCACTTTGATGGCCAACTTGTTAAGAGCAGGGAAAACTCTCCTTACATTTTTGTTTAGGACTGCTGATGTTCAGACAGGTCATTCTATTGCTGTCCAGATCCTTGCAGCCATAGTTTTTGTGTGTGTGTGGAGGGGATATTAGTCATTTAATGAAGTAGGAGTATTTAATCACCTGAGAGCATGGAAGTCTGAATGGTGGGAAGCACCTGCATTCAAAAACAAACCTGTGTGAGGTAATTCACATGGCTACCACTGCACCCTGTGTAAGATGTCTGAGAAACATACAGCACATTATACTCCTGAAATGGATCGTAGAAGCCAGTCTCATATATGGAGCTGTTGGGATGTTAATACTATTTTAGGCTGTTGCATAATCAAAGAGTCTTGTGGTTAAATGTTCTGAACTAAGCAAGCAGATACAGCTTGAAACCGTCCTCTTTTTCCATTTGATTTTATGACTTTTCTGATTAATGTAATTGCAGGTTCTCCGAAATATGGTACATTGTGCAGACTTGAGTAATCCCACAAAGTCTCTGGAGCTGTACCGGCAGTGGACGGACAGGATCATGGAGGAGTTCTTCCAGCAGGGAGACAAAGAGCGAGAGAGAGGGATGGAAATCAGCCCAATGTGCGACAAACACACAGCGTCAGTGGAAAAATCACAGGTAATTGGCTGGGAGCTGCACTTCTGTACTGCCCAGGCTTGTGTTTCTAAAGCACAGACCAAATTCATCTGCTTTCTCCAGCATAATTAGGCAAAGAGCCAGCTGTTCAGGGATTGGTTCTGATTGACCCTGACATCCAGCTGTGCCTGAAGCTCATATAGGCTGGCGAGGCAGTTCAGACTCCTTTATCTGCCCCTTGGCATCAAATCTTTTCCAATGGCTCTTCATCTTGCACTGTTTGTGTCCCAGTTTCCTGAGCGAGATGGGGTATTTTGTGTCCCCCAGGCTGGAAAAAGTGCAGTTCTGATCTCCTGCTCCTTCTGCCTTCAAAGCCCCCAGCTTCCTCAATTAGCACCTCCTAAACCTACTGACGTTGCACTTTATGTTAGATGTTAATAGCAATGCCAGCCCCACTGAACTGCAGGGTTAGGAGCTTCTCCATGCCAAGATCCACTTCAGGACACTGGGAAAGTCTGATGTCAGTCTTTACTCAGCCTTGTGCAGAACAGTTGTGCACTGCATGATCTGTCCAGTTAAGTTAGAGGTTGATGGAGCTGCTGTGTCCTAGGTGAAGTCAAAGAAATACCTATTTCTGTCAATACAAACCTTAAAAGGAGTTGGATACATCTCTTTTTTTGAGATGAACTGGTTCATCCCTAGTTCTGATTCATAGATTAAACAGTTTCAAGGCCAGATTTTGTTCCGACCTGTGTAGCACAGGCCATAAAGTTTCACCCGGTTAGTCTGTAATGAAGCTGGTAATTTATGTTTGCCTCAAAGTCTTCCAACCTTTACATAATGGTGTCTTGGTTGTTGTTTCTAAATGACTCCAGCAAGTCATCATCGAGAGTTTTCGGCTTGAATAAGTAACAAAATTGATGATAATTATTTCCAAATGTCCTCTTGGGCTAAGCCAAGTGGTTTCAAAATTATTCACTCAACCACATGGTGATTTTGTTGGAAAAATCTGTCTTATTTGTTAACCTAACGAGAAATGAATCCTTCCGCAAGGCTTGGCCGGAAAAGGCCCATGTGCTCCTCGTGTGAGCCCCAGTTAATTTCTTGTTTCACATGTGCACTTCACAGAGGTTCAAAATGGCATTTTTGCCATGCAAGAAAGATCAGGAGTTGCACAAAATGTCTACTGCTGAAATCCCAACTAGTGGCAGAGGAGATAGGGAGGCAGCATGTCCATCGTGGAGTGAAACAGAAGGAATTGGTTGGAATATAGTGTGCAAGTATTGTAAAGCTCTAGATCAGAAAATCATAGATTGGTTTGGGTTGGAAAGGACCCTAAGATCATCCAGTTCCAATCCCCTGCCATGGGCAGGGATGGCTCACGCTAGCTTATGTTGCCCAAGGCTCTGTCCAACCTGGCCTTGAACACTGCCAGGGATGGGGCAGCCACAGCTTCTCTGGGCACCCTGTGCCAGCACCTCAGCACCCTGACAGGGAAGAGCTTTGTCATTATCTCCAACCTGAACTTCCCCTGTTTCAGTTTGAGCCCATCATCCTTTGTCCCATCGCTACAGTCCCTGATGAAGGTCCCATCTCCAGCATCCTTGTAGCCCCCTTCAGACACTGAAGCTGCTCTGAGGTCTCCAGTAGCTTCTCTTCTCCAGGCTGTACAGCCCCAATTTTCTCAGCCTGTCTTTGTATGTGACCTCTTTACATCACAATATTTAAGATCAATTCTCAGCCAACTGGCCAGCTTTTCCATGATTTGGGATGTTTGCTTAAAGAAACAATGGCCTGGTTTCAGAAGGGACTGATCTCTCACCATCGGTGCTGGGTAGCCCTGGAGCGTTTTGGGTGGTGCTAAAGCCATCAACTAACCATAGAGAATGATTTTCTTTCTTCGCTTGAAAAGTGCTCCGGAACATGTGCTGCAGGAAATTTTCATCACCTTTTTGTTTGAGCGGCCTCCACAGTATGTTACAATTGAATGTTAATGGTTCTATTGACATCCTGTTGTGTCTGAAGGAGGCATGTGCGATTTCCAAAGCAAACATCTGCACGTTGAGCCTGGCCCCTCTGAGAGCCATTTTCCTGCTGCACAGAAATGTTGTCCAGCAGAGCAAGAAGTGACACATTCTGCCAAGACGGAAGAATTTCAATCCTCTTTATGGCCATTGAGTTTTCTCCATCCTGGACGTACGTCCTCTTAGTCAGACAATTGAAAAGTGATTTAGCTCAGAGCCTACGCGCCAGCCGGCGGAAGGGCTGACGGGCTCGGCCACAGCCCTCATCGTTTCCACCTCTGGATGTCATCCCATGGGAGTCGGGCAGCAGTGGTCTGTCCTCCTTCATGCAGGAGGCGGACTTCTTGGGCTGAGCTGACCTGCTTTCAGCACTCATCCCAATACAAAATGAAAGGAAGGGAAATTTCTACCAGGGCTGGTTACGCAAAGAAACATGGTGGCTGCCTTGGCAGAGTAGAGCTGAAGTGCTGAAGCGGCTCAGAATAGGTACAAACTACACACTATAGTAAATTACACCAAAAGGTCAAAATTTAGTCCATAAAAACAGTGACATTGGGTTGCCAGCCTTGGGAGTGCTGGTGTTTTCATAGCTGCCCACCACATCCATACCCTGGGGTAATGGCAGGGGTGCCGCCATCAATGCATCAGCCTTGTCTGCAGCCACTGGGGAATCCTGTTGGAGACAGGGAAGCTTTATTGATGCTTAAGACTAGAGACAGGGATTATCTAAACTGCCCCTCTGCACTAGCAGCTGGTGAGAGGCATCCCTCAGTGGGATGGTCTGTGTTCAAAGTGATGGCTTAATCCCAACTTCTGATTGTAGTCGGGAACAGACACCTACAGGGAGATTTGAAATCATGCATGCAGCCAGGGATTGGAGCAGCAGCTCAGTTGCCAAGTTTCCCAGTGGCTCCTGCTTTGAGTTAAACTTTCATCCAGGATTTTATTTTAGACAAGACATTGATTGGCCTCACCCAACGTTGTATGTGCAGCTTTGGGTATCAGATGATTGTCATAGAATCGGGGAATCGTTTGTGTTGGAAGGGCTCTTAAAGCTCCTCCAATCCAACCCCTGCCCCGGGCAGGGACACCTTCCACTAGAGCAGGTTGCTCCAAGCCCCTGTGTCCAACCTGGCCTTGAACACTGCCAGGGATGGGGCAGCCACAGCTTCTCTGGGCACCCTGTGCCAGCGCCTCAGCACCCTCACAGGGAAGAGCTTCTGCCTCAGAGCTCATCTCAGTCTCCCCTCTGGCAGGTTCAAGCCATTGCCCTTGTCCTGTCCCTCCATCCCTTGTCCAAAGCCCCTCTCCAGGTCTCCTGGAGCCCCTTTAGGCCCTGGAGCTGCTCTAAGGTGTCCCCTTGAGGAGCCTTCTCTTCTCCAGCTGCCCCAGCCCAGCTCTCTCAGCCTGGCTCCAGAGCAGAGCTGCTCCAGCCCTCGCAGCATCTTCATTTTATCAGCAACTAGACTGTGCTGGTTTGGGGACTTGCTCTGGGGAGGGGGTGGTATTTTGCTTGTAAAATCATCTATTAACAGCATTTGAGCCTTTTAGTCCCATTCTGGCCATTCCTTTCCCCTAAGTGTGCATGTTCCTTTGTTTCTCAGGTGGGATTCATCGACTACATCGTCCATCCGCTCTGGGAGACGTGGGCTGACCTGGTGCAGCCCGATGCCCAGGACATCCTGGACACGCTGGAGGACAACAGGAACTGGTACCAGAGCATGATACCTCAGAGCCCATCTCCTCCACTGGAGGAGCGGGGCAGGGACTGCCAGAGCCTGATGGAGAAGTTCCAGTTTGAACTGACACTGGAGGAGGAGGACTCGGATGGACCGGAGAAGGACGGTGAGAACATCGGCTACTTCAGCAATACAAAGACACTCTGCGTGACCGAGCCAGGGGAAGAGGATTCACAGAGGGAGGCAAACATAGAGATTGTGACAGAAGATACATCTCCTGTGGACACATAATGTCCTGCACCACCCGTGTGAGTGGATTTCAAACACTTGAGGAGCATGCAGCAGTCTCACGGACTTGCCTGCAGCCTGGGTCTGAGGCCTGTGTCTAACACGGGCTGACAGATCTCCCCAGCTACTTGAGATTGGAGTCAGGGTTAAAGATCGTGTAGTGAATGATTGCTCAGGAAATTAACAGGTGATTTACGTTATGGTTTTAATCCTTGTCAGCTCCCAGCATCCTGTTGTCCTGGAGCTGGCTCGGGTCGTGACTGAAGAGTAAATGACACACAACTGAGAGATTTTATACTGTTAGCTTTGGAATTTATACCAGTTAGACTGATAGAAACTACTGATTAATAACTCTCCATATAAAAGCTGTCCACCTGACCACCTGTCTGCAGACCTGTGTGCCTTCTTTGTAAACACTTTCATGTCTTTTCAAGAGTCTCTTAACGAAACACACGGAGTTTAGTATCAAAAGCGACACAAAAAGTGTTTCAGAATTGACGGATTCCTTTTTGATTCTTCCTGTTACAAGAAGCAGTCTTCCTTTTTTTCATGGCAATACCTGTCACTTTATTGCAGTTCATCACTTTTACAGACTAAACAGAAGGGAATCCCCTCTCTGTTTTGCATCGCTGCACCTTTAATCGTCCTCTTGCTACCCCAGGCGACCCATTTAAAGTCACTTCACGCACCATCTCCGTTCGCTTGCTAGGAATAACAGTGGGTTTTCCTCCACGGGGTGTTTTCTGTCGTGAGCAGGATAGAGGGTAGTTTGTCGCAGTGATGAGGCAGCGTGTGACGTGCCGTGACGTGCCGTGACACACGTTCCCCCTCAGCAGCTCCTCGGCTCAGTGGAATTTGCACGCTCGGATCTTTGTGTTCCTCTCTCCTCCCCTCCACGTCTCCTAGGTTTAGGTCCACCATCGTCCTCCTCCTGCACTGCCTTGAGCTCTAACACCTCCATTACTGTTTATAACAGTGTATTTATTACGTAATGTATATACTGTAATGTTTTGTAAGTTATTAATTTATATATGAATTGGCATCGCCTCTCGGCGGCGATGTTCATGGGGTAGAAAACTCGGAACAAGAGTTGCCTTTTTTTTTTCCCCCTCTTCCTTCTAACCTTTTATATTGCATAAAATACACGAACCTGAACATAGCTGAAGAGACAGACGCAACCCAGGGAGGGCATTCGGGTGGCAGCCGCCTGTGGGGGGTTCATCTTCACAGACCCAGACCCCATGGCAATGAATGGAAGTGCTGGAAAAACCTGGAGAAGGGAACCTAAGCAGAGAAACCCCCCCAACGGGGCTGGCTTTTAAATGTCCCCTTCCAACTTCTGAACAACCCAATGTGAATTTCTATGACACAAAAACCAATGTGAACTGATGTAATAATTGTGCTGTGAAACTTCTTCTGACAAAGCTTGTCCGGCAATCGTGAGCCGTGTCAAATCTCAGTTTGTAAAATAATGTTTCAAGCTTTTGGTCCAACTTGTGACTAACTAGTTAATGAAAATAGCACAGTTGTGCATGATCAATGGGTTTGTATGTCTGTTGAACACTGCATTGTTCCAGGTGGTTATTTTATTGTCCCCCAAAGTTTCACACAATGTATGTTATAGTATTATATATTGTGTTCAGATGCATTCTTAAAAGAGATTTTTATATGAAGTGAATAAATGAAAGCATGACCCTGCCCTGTGGCTGCTGCTTTCTTTAACAGGTTGCTGTGGGCAGGCGATGGCGGCTGCGACCCGCTGGCACCGGCCTATGGTAAAGCCAAACCCTCCCATGGCCAAACCCCAGCAGAGACAAAGGGGAAGAGACGTGTTCCTGCAGCCAGAGGGCACGGCCACCCTCTCCGTGGCGGAGACCTTCTCCTTCCTGAGCGGGGCCGTGCCGGTGGCAGCGGC